ACACACACACACACACACACACTTTGTATCCATCCATCCATCCATCCATCCATCCATCCATCCACCCATATGTCTATCCATCAGTCATCCTCCCCGGAGTGACCCCGGAAGACCTCCAGCAGGGCGGGGAGATAGAGATGACGGCCGAGGGCAAGACACTGACCATCATCACACGCCCGCCAGGCCGCGTGGAGATCGTGGATGTCCTGGTTCTGGGGGAGAAGGATGTCAGGGACGGGCCTGGAGGGGTCAAGGTCGAGGTCAGTTTCGATGGGTTTAGTCCGTACAGTTAGCATTGTTGTTATCATCGTTATCATCAACATTTTCATCATCATCATCATCATCATCATCATCATCATCATCATCATCATCATCATCATCATCATCATCATCATCATCATCCCCCTCCTTCTCCTCTTCCTCCTCCACCTCCTGTTCATCCTCCTCCTCCTTCTCCTCCTCTTCCTCCTTCTCCTCCTCCTCTTCTACTTTCTCATCCTACTCTTCTTCCTAAGCCCCCACTTCCTCGTCCTCCTCCTTCTCCCCCTCCTCCTCATCATCATCAATATCATCATCATCATCAATATCATCATCATCATCTTAGAGTGCCAACTTCGGTTACAGTGTAACATGACAGGCAAATTTGAAATATTACAACGTACATTCTGTTTTATTCTTTTATTTAAATCTACCCATCTCTCTCTCTCTCTCTCTCTCTCTCTCTCTCTCTCTCTCTCTCTCTCTCTCTCTCTCTCTCCCTCTCCGTCTCTCTATCTATCTATCTATATATTGCGTGTTTATGTGTTTATGTGTTTATTTATGCATTTATTTATTTACTTTTTTATCTTTATTGATTGAATGAATGATTGATTGATTGATTGATTGATTGATCGATCGATTGATCGATCGGTAGATTGATTAATCCATTTATTTACTTTTTTAAATTTATTTATCTATTTCTGTATTTGTTTATTTATTTACTTATTTATTTATTTATTTATCTTACATGAGCTTCCCTCTGCTCCCCAGACTGTGGGCAACTGGGAGACTGACCGCTTCGTGTCCACCAGCCACATCGGTGACGTCACTGTGCGCACCGTTAGGTACCTCCGGAACGGAGACATGATCAATGTACGTGAGGGGGCGGTTGGCGGCTGCTCTGGTGTGGTTTGCGTCTTTTTTCGATCTAACATCTATCGTTCTTGTCTTTCCTTGTGGGTGGTTGGCGGGCGCAGTCTTTTTTTTGGATCCAACATCTATCGTTCTTATCTCTCCACGTGGGTGGTTGGCGGCTGTTCTGATGTGGGTGCCTCCGAGGTTTTTTCTTCATCCAACATCTATCGTTCTTATCTCTAATTGAGGGTGGTTGGTGGGTGCTCTCGTGGGGTTTGCGCCTTCTTTTCGATCAAACTTCTATCTTCCTTATCTCTCTTCTCTTCTTTTCTTTGTCTGTTACTCTCCAGTAAAACCTCTAGTCTGAGGCACTTGTATGACCTTATTGTGTTGAAAGTGCCGTAAAGCGCTTACTAAAACTACTCTAAAAGTTCGTGACTGGTCACGTCAAGGAGCAGGGGGTGGGGTGATTGTGGACGGACTGTTTTGTTTGTTTGTTTGTTGTTTGTTAGTGTGTTCGTCTGATTGTTTGTTGTGTGTTAATGTATTTGTCTGTTTGTTGGGGGCTCTCGTGGCCTAGAAGTTAACGTGTTGACCTCTCATTCAAAAGTCCCGAGTTCGAATCTGGGTAGCGACGGAAAAGTTTTCTTCTCTAAAATTATCTCCTTTCACCTTTTTTTCTTTTTCCTTGCAATGTTCTGTCGTCTGCTTTCGTCTCCATTTTCTTCCCCCACCCCCTCACCTCCTTTGCCCCCTCCTCTGGGCTCCTGACACTTTCTGCAGTTTTACTTCTGCTACTCCTTGGCTCCGTCTTACTGCTGTCTTTCAGCCACTCCCTTGATCTTCTGTAAGGAAAAATCTACACCTAGCCTTCTCGGACAAGAGCGAAAAATCTCAGACGCCCCGTGTGCAAGTTGCGCACGCTTAAGATCCCTTGGTGGTTCAAAATCGATAACAGTACGCTTCGCCTACTTCAAAATTCCCTAACAATTAAAAATTTTTGGTGTGTCCCGCACGCTCTTATGACCTTGTGCAGTTGCGTGCGCCGTAAAACATTTACCACCCCCCCCCCCCCCCCACACACACACACGAAAAAACTGTTTGTTGTTGTGTTTTACTTGCGTTTTCTTTTTTCGACTCTATTTTTTAAATAATTATGTTTAATCAACTAAAAGAAATCATATTCACGTTCACTTAAAACAGTCCAAAGAGCTATGGCGCGCTCATATGACCTTAGCAGTTGCGAGCGCCGTAAAACCCTATACTACTACTACAAAGAGCTATGATAATTTCCCGGTCTTTCTGCTGTGACGATGCACCATCTTTCACATCGATTTGGCCCTGACAGGAGGGGTTTTATGCTCGCCTCCTTGATGATCTAAATTGTAAATTGTGTTGATGGGGACGTAAAACCACCTACAGTAAAAAAAAAACCAAACCCCCCCCCCCAAAAAAAAAAAACAGCTCTAGAAGAACAACAATCTCCAACACTCACTTTAATATTTTTGGGGGTATTTTTTTATTTCAGGAAACCTCCAGTGGTGGCAAGACAGTGACTGCTAGACTCATCCGTTAACGCCCCACAAAGGGAACAGAGTTCGAATCCCCGCCTCTGGAACGTCGTTAACGGAATCCATTCATTTCCCTCTCTCTGTGTCCTGTGTCATTATCTTATTCTTAAAAATAAAATTCTGTTCAGAAAATTACCTTTTAACTATTCCCATTATCCGACATTTAAGAATGTGTAATTCTGTTTAGGTGAACACTTGGAGTGAAAGAACGAAAGAAGAGTGGAGGTATAAAATCATAGCATTGGCCGTGGTGTGGAAAGGAGGAAAGAAGGTTTTTACTTGTTTACAGGAATGTTAAATAAATGTGTGATCAATCACAAGATGCCATCGATCTCTTGAATCAATATTGTCGATTTCCTCGTTATGGTTACCTTGATTATAAGTGTGATTATTATGTGTGTCTGTATGTACTTGTGTATGTGTGTGTGTGTGTGTGTGTGTGTGTGTGT